ATTCCAGCTCTCCTCTCCGTCTCCCCAGCTCCAACCCGTGCTCATTCTGCCGAACTTCATCCTCCAGAAGTCGCCGACGAGATCCGCAGGAGCTCTTTTGAAGTGCAACGTGGCACCGGAAGACAACTCCCGAGTACCGAAGGATTGGAGGTTAGTCTCAAAAGCGGGAATTTCAAATTTTCATTAAAAAATTGAAAAAAAAAACAATAAGAAAGATGGCAAGGCGACAAAGTTATTGATTTCTTGTGGGGATGATGGGATGAAAACAAAAAAAAAGAGATATAATTCTCAAAAAAAAGGAAAAACGTGGCATGGATTCTGGGATTTGAAAGAGTCATTTCGGCGGGAAAAAGATGGGCGTGGCAAATCATTAAAAAAAAAGAAGAATTTCAAGAAAAAAGGTGTCTACCCGTCACTCTCATGGGGTGGCTTTCGTGTTCTAAAACTCTGAGGGGGGAAGATTTTAAAATTCACAAAAAATGAAGGAAAGTGGGTAGGAAATGGATTATTAGAAAATTATTAATTTTGATTAGAGGAGAAAAGAAAATGTTATTACTGTTTGTTATCGCATGGAAAGCATTTTTCTAAAGCTGGTAGCAGGTAGATTGCTGCGGCACTTGGAGCATAGTTCACTGACATCTTTGGATCTGCTAATTGATGTTCTTGCTTCTGATGGAGCTGTTGTTCATCATAGGTTGTGGTGATGGTTTTGCACGTTTTGCATCTGGAAAACAGTGAATTTAGGGTTATGAGGTAGTGCCTAAGGCTAAGAGATAGGCCTAAGCCTAAGATACGGAGCTCAACCTGAATTTGGAAATGAGCTGGGCCAAATATACAAAATATAACATCATCTAAACCTAAGATCTGAAGTTCAGCACAAACTCCAAGAAGTTGAGTCTTTATGGCAGCTTAACCTTGACTGACCGATATGAGGGCCCAAAGTATATGTGCTCACGGAAATCCAAACCCTACTGAATAGTTCACCCTACCTTTTTTTCCTAAGCCCAAGGGAAAGTAGGTCCCAAATGGCAAGTAGGTTAGTGAACCCTAAACCAAGGCGTTCAAGAAACGGTCTAGAAACATTTTTTAGCTTCTACCAAAACAAAATCAGCAAATTGAACCCCAACTTACTTGATAGTATGATTAGTCTGCACATGTCGAATCATGGCGGCCTTATCCCTTCTGACTCTTGCATTACAAACTCCACAAGTCTGCTCCGCAGCCTTCCCTCTCAAAATCTCTGTCAAATACGAATCGGCATTCCGATTCGACTCCTTCTTCGGCCTGGATGATGTCTTTGGAAAGCATTGCGAAAGGACTAAACACATCTTTGGCATGTCTCTCTTATCCACAAACATATCCACTTTTCGGGGATGCTCTACTCGCATATGGGAATAGATTTTGTACTTGTCAATCGCCTGCCACCCGCATAATCTGCATTGATAACAGCCGGCGTCTGCGTGCTCTGCCACATGAACTGCCATCATGTTCTCGTGATTATCCACGTGTTTCTTGCACAATCCACATTGCAGTGCTTTGTCTCTGAAACTGGATAATTGGATAGGAAGGTTAGCATGAGCCTAAGCTTCTATAATCACCTAAATCTAAGGGTGTTCACCTAAAATCACAAAATAGAACTCACTGTTGTCTCATGTACTTCATCCTTCTATAAAACTCCACGTGTGCTTTCCTCTTCTCTTTTCCATCGATTGCCACGTCAACTGACTCAATATCCACAAACTCCTCTTCCTCCTCTTCTTCATCTTCCTCTTCCTTCTTAGAAGACGTGCTTGGAGAGGATGCTGGAAGAGATCCAGATCCAGATGCAGAGGCCGAAGGCGTCGGAATCACTGGAACGAATTCTGGAGGCATTGAGACCGAGGAGATCTTCCTAAGCGATTCCAATGGAGTAGGGGATTGCTGAATGATGATTGGTGGTGTTGTACACTTGCTCATCACAACAGAACTCGAGGATTCCAATTGATTTTGGAGGAGAGAATTGAGAGTGTTGAAGACTCCGGGTGGGGTGCCACTTTGTGGAGTAACTGAAGATGCAATGGAGGTTGTGGGAGTGAGAGTTGGTGTGGGAAGGGTTGTTGGCACTGTAGCCGATGTGAATAGTGGGAGATTGAATGTGGAGGGGATGAAAGACGATGTTGATATTGTTGGAGACGGCAGGATTGGAGTTGAAGCCAGCGATTGGAGGGCTGAAAAAGTTTTGAATTGAATTTTGTAGGATTTTCATGGGAAGAAGATTCAGGAAAGCTCATTTTTGGATTTTACCTATAAAGTTCCATCAGAAAGTCACCTCGAAATTCTCCAAACTTGGATTTCTTAGTGCTCTATTAGTGCTCACCTTGCTGACTCTGAATCGCCTGCTGCAACAATATCAACGCTGCCAGATTCGCATCCAGCCCGTTATTGTGATGTTGTTGTGTTATCGTCGTAGTATTTGGTATCGAATGTGATTTGATCGTCGGCCAAACAGACGGCGGCGATGGCGTCGTCGCCTGTGATGTCATCGATGAGAAGAGCATCTGTAAAGAAAGAAAACGAATTGTATGGAACAATATTGTTTTATTTTGTTTCATGTACATATGCTTCTCTTTATATATACAAAAAATGTACGATGAGTGTACATATGGTCAGAAAAAAAAATAGAATGTGTACCTATGTGGGAAGGGGTGGTGGGAAAGAGAACTAACTTTCAAAAACCATATATTCTGGGTCAACATTTTCTCTCCGTGTGAGAGTGAGTTATGAGTCAGGACAAACAGATGATCACAGAGAAAACCTAACCACAATAAAACACAAGTGGAGAACATAAATAGAGACATCAATTACATGGAAGTTCACTTCTGTTGCATTTGATCTATGCCCCGAATGGAATCGAACCTGGCACCCTTTGCATCATAGCCAACGCTTTTACCAGTTGCGCCACATACTTAAAGTCAGCGGCGTATACTTTTGTTCGATATGAACTAAGAACCCAACTTATTTTACCGTCTTACGTGCCATGGAAAATTAGTGTCTAGTGGTCTGTCCGGTTACAGTTTTGCCCCTCACGCACAGAGCTCAGGTTCGATTCCCACCCGGGGCAAATCTTTTTTGTTTTTTTTTTTGGGAAGTCAGAACACCGTGCCCTAGTGCGTTCTGAATCAGAAAAGGCTTATCCTAAGCAGAGAGCTCATCTGATCCAAACGATCCACACCATACATCTATTCAAAAAATCAGAAAAAGTTGAACTCCTCCACACAAAACTTTCTTTCCCTTTTATATACTGCCAAATAGCCCGTGCCAAAAAGAGAGCACATAAGCTGAGCAAGCAGAGTTTCAAACCGCATTTCTATCCGGTGCGAACATGCAAAAGTATGGAGTCAAAAGTCATTTCCTGCCCCTCTCACTTACCATTGGATTCTGCTGTGGAGTGGTCGACACAGCCGACGCTAGTAACTTTTGCAACTGTCCTTGATCCATTGTCCGCATTGCTCAGATCATAATTTGGGTAAATATGTGTGTCTGGAAAATAAGGAAGAGGTAGAAGAAATCGCAAAGAAGAAAATGTGTCAAAAAAAGAGAGAAGAACGAAGAAACGACGAAAATTGAGTTTATCCGGAAAAGGGACACAAGAAAACTGACACTTTTCTTCTTTTTTTCCTTCATCCTCAACAGGCCTATGACCCTGTAAGGACAGAAAAAGGAGAAGAAGGAAAAGCCAAAGGAAGGATGGGGATGAGCAAGAAGAAAGGGAGGAGGAGAAGGAGAAAATTGAGTTTATCCGGAGAAAAAACTACAAGAAAAAACTACATTTTTTTTCGACGAAGAGAAAGTCTCAGAAGAGGAAGACTCCCTGAGCCGCTTATGACCTAATTTGCATCTTATTGAGAATGGAATGGATGATTTTGATGATGATGAAAACAAGGAAGATGGAAGAGGAGGAGGAGCCAGAACAGGAGGAGGAGGAAGAGGAATGTTGAAAAAATGATAGGAAGACGACGTCAAAAAGACTCGAAATTTGGAGTTTGAAGCTTCACAGAACATAGTGCATACGAGGGTTTTAGAAGGTTTTTCAAGACCTAAATAGATTTTTTGCTGGTGGTGGTTCTGACCATTTTGTAGTTGGGCTTTTGGAATATTCAGGAAATTAATATTTTTTGATCTTTTTGGACTCGGTTTGCAAAAAAGTGTGAGTAGAGACCCAGACAACGAGAGTACTCTCGTCGTCTGCCACCCTCTCCGCGCGACTAACTTTTGAGACTGTATATCTCTGCTCCTGTTAGAGCTATCAAAAAGTTGTAAACATCAAAGATATGCGAAATTTTGATTCTACACAAATCTTCAGTTAACAATTTTTTGATATCTCCCCCGCCAAGTGAGTTAAGTTGCTTTGTTTGGCTAGACTAGACTTCGCCAAATAGTCCAAAAGGCTATAAACCAACTTCACTATTTGAAGCATTTCATTCTTTTGAACTGTGGAAAAAAGTTCAAAAAACAGTCACTCCAGACAGGGAACCATAACCTAGCACTTTTCCATTCACTTATATTCAATTCTTTGTGATAAACCGTGCGAAAAGTATGTGTTCCGAGTAGTTTTTCGAGGAATTATTTCACACACGTCAGACAATTGGAACGCCGACGCAAATTTCGAACTATTTTCTTGGAATTCAACTTTCAGTTTTTTCATCGGGTAGAAACTAAGTACTGGGGGCTACAAGGCAGGAGAAAATTGTTAGTTTATATACTAGTGGCCACTGACTGGGTGACGATGTCTGAATTGGCCGAATTTGTGATTTTGAGTCTATCTATCAGAAGGTCTGGTGTCTTAGATAGATTAGTTGATTGATCTGAACACCGAGAAGGGGGGAAGAAATCATGAAAAAACAACAGAATGATATTTGAACTAGATAGGTAGGAGTGTGGAATGGGTTCTAATAGAAAGGCATGTCTAAATTTCTTTCGAAAAGAGAGAATAAGTTTCCGGAAAAAAATAAAAAAAGAATGACCACCAGTGGGAGTCGAACCCTGGATCTCTTGAATAAAAGGCAAAACGACAACCGTTACGCCACGAGAGCAATCTTTGCATGAGCGCATAAGGCATAGATAAAAGGGGCAGTGCGCCAAGGAGGAAGGGTTACAGTATCCAATTTTTCGAGGAAATGTTCTAATTTTGTGACATAAACAAAAAACTAGTTTCATCGAATGACCTGTTTTTCCTCTCGTGATTCGTTTCAAAAATTAACTGCTGATCTATTTTTCTAAGATCGATCTGACAGAGAGAACAAAGATTCTGAGAAGGAAGTTGCTGTGTCAAGTACACTGTATTTACAGAAATTCGGGCTCTATTAAAAGAGCACCCATGCTTAAATTATTCGAAAAGGGGACATCTAACTAGATTACTAGAACACCTTCTTCAAAAAAGAATCGTGCTTTGATTTCGTGTCAAATTTTTCGAGAACAGGTGAAATTCCTAAGCCTCTAAAGTTCAAAAAATTAATAATTACACCCTCTCGGAAAGTCTGTTTTTTTCCTTCTCTTTTTCCACAGATGTTTTAGTTTATAAACTTTAGGGCGAAAAAGTTTATAAAACACAAAAGTCTAGAGGCATCAAGAGAATTCCAAACAATCTCTGCTAGGGAATCAAAGAGGGCAATTTATTTATCGAGAATTGAGTCACTTTTATATACAAATGGGGGTTCCCCTGGGATGCAAATGAGCATGGGGTTGGGGTGAAAAAATGAATTAATTTAGCATGATTATTGGTCAGGAAGGGAGGTTCAGGAAGGGGTGTTCAAAGCACAGAGTACGGTTTTTTGGGAGTGGAGTTTGATGTAGAGGAGAAGGGTGCCCTTGTAATGAAGGTTTTACGGAGAAAACTTGTGGGGAATAGCAATCAAGAGATTATACATGAGAATAAAGTGGAAGATTCCAAGAAAAGCTCTAATAGAAGGGCACCCAAGTTTTTGATGACTCAGAAGAATGAGCAAAATTTGGAACAATTTCGAGAAAATATTTAGAGAAAAACATGGAAAATTTCTCAGATAATTAACTCCTGATTTTTCTGGTTTTGAGCACAAATTTTTTAGAAATTGCAGTTAAAAAAAGTATATATAATAAAAAATTTGAGGTATAAAAAATTACAAAAAACTTTTTTTCTAAAAAATGATTAAATGTAGTGTAAAAAATTGAAAAAATGTGGATGAGCAAAAACATTTTTTGATGGGATTTTGTTACAAAACTGCATTTTGAGAGTCAATCACAAAAAATCGAAAGATGCTCCATCGGACTTGGATGCTCATTTTGAGCCAAATGGTCCCAAAAATGACCAAAAGCCCTCCGAGAAGAAAACCATACATTTCTAACAACTTTTGCATTTTTAAACCGCTCTCCTTTCTCTCTCTCTCTCTCTCTCTCTCTCTCTTCTGCTCAAAATGCTCAGAAAATATTTGGACCTAGAAACATCATCACCAAAGAGTTCTTCTTCTTTCTCTTTAAATAGCCTCCCCTCGGCTCGTCCGTCCGTTTGTCCCCCACCCTCTTATATACAAAAGTTTTGTGTATTTGCTCAACTTTTGTGGTGTGACACACACACACAAGGGGCTCCCTCTACAGTTCTTTTTTCTCTTCTTTCACTTATAACCCCAATGGACATGTCGTTTTGTAGAGGTATAAGGAAGAGAAAAGTTTGTTTAAACTTTTTCCCGAAAATCACCCGTTTTCCCGAAAAGTCAGAGAGAAAAAGTGTTCGTCTGTTCTTTTACTGATAATACGGAAAACGAAGAAAAAAGGTTAGGATTTGAAGAAAAGGGAAAAAAGGAAAATAAAGATATTTGAAAAATGCGGAAGAAGGGGATAGTAAGAAAAATGATAGGATAGATAAGATAAGTACTTTTTTGATAGTAATTGAGAGATAAAAAAGTACGAAAGTTCAGAGAAAAGAGTCTAGGAGTTTTAGTGGCAGGATTTCATAAGAGTCAAGTTTTTTGAATTGTTTTGACACCTGTGCATATTCTTCTGATTGATTTATTGAGTTTGTGCTCTGCTCCAGAAGTTGGGAGCCGTATTTTTAGGATCCCTAGTTTTCTGGAGCCAACGTGGTGGAGCCGGTACCCAAGTTCGACCGAACCTGAGAAATAAAAATAGTGCACAGAATCAGAATTCCAATCACAGGTTTCCAAAAGCTCTCTCTTGCTCGAAATTCGTTTGGAAAAAATTTCGGAGCTCTCAGGATAAACTCAATCAGAATGAGGAGTGGAAAATCTACCTCCAATACAAGGGCACCTTCCAAATACCTTCAAAACAAAAATTCCGAAAAAACCGGGGTTTTCACCAAGCACAGGAATTGATTCCTCTATTATAGGTGCATGTCCTGCAGCTCGCTCTAGATCCATGCTCTTCTATTCTATTGAAGGTTTTTTGGTCCCTTTTTGTGATTTCTAGGCCACCCATGGATCTTCCAAAATCAAGTCTTTTGCTACCTTTTTTATAGAAAGTCCCAAAAAAGTTTCCAGCTATATATACTATATAATCCCACGTCATTCTCTCTCCCTAGAACTATCACCATCATCATCCAATTTTATTGTTTTCCCCCACGGGGTTTTCCGCTTGCAAACAGTCCATTTCACTTAGTATTTAGTGAGAGAGAGAGAGAGAGAAGTTTGGAACTGAATTTCGCTTGTATTTATAGTTACACACTCACTCAGGTTGATAGGAAAGACTACATAGGGAGATGAAGAGACGCAGAAGGAAAGGAAAGTAGGTGCTGATGTTTCAACTTGAGAGATACGGGAAAGAAAGCAAAAGGACTAGAAACTACACCCCGACTGGACGGTATTTAAACCACAGAGCTTTTTTTCTTCGGTTTCTCATTGGTTATATGGGAATCGAAGGAATTAGAAACACGAGATGAAAGGAGGCCGCGCATAAAAAAACTATGAGAAACGGTTTGAAGGAAGAGAGAGAGAGAATGAGAGTGCGGAGGAGGGAACCTTTAAAGATGTGTGTACCCAGAAGGACGGATAATCTGATGGGTGAAAAGATGGATGGGTGTAGAAGAGGGGGAGGGGAAGAGGGCGAAATGTATTTATTCAAGGTCGTCACCATTTGTTTCTACCGGAGAACAGACGGAAAGGGACAGATGTACTTAATAAGGGGAAGGAAGAGGATGAATGAGAAATGACCAAGTTAGATTTGAGGCTTTGATTATTTTACTTGGTATGGAGGACTGTCACTAACACAATAATGTATCACCAGATTTGTATCACACAGGTCATTCGTGGGTAGATCCGTTCAGGATGAGCGTTGTATTATAGGTCGTTACGGGTCCATAACGACTCCGTTTGCGAACGAGCGTTCGCAAACGGTCCGTAAATTTCAGTCGCAAACTGACCGTATACGGCTCTGTGCTTCTACCAATCCTTTTTGTTCCTAGAAGTTCGTAACTTCATCAATTTTCTTTTTTTAAAGCATCAGACTCTTAAAGAACAGAAAACAAATGGAATGGTAAAAACAGATCAAAATTTTAGACATCATTTTCGCAAACGGGTGGGTTACGGATCCGTAACGAGAGTCGTTTTTGATACCGATCCGGGCCGTGCGCGGCTCCGGTGCATCCGTAACGGATCGGACGCGAACGACCTGTGCATGATGGACTGCTAGTGTGTGATAATTGAATGCGTTGCGAATTTTGGAACAAATAGGGCATATGCGCTCAACCGTAAAAGGGGGAGACACAGGAATACCGTTCCAATAGAGCGCATTTTCTGAGTCCCAAAAAACGGAATTTGGTAAATTTTCTAAACGGTCAAAAAGCCGTAACGATTGTTTGGAACCCCTCTGGAGATGACGTTATATTAGAGGTATAAGAAAATCGATCAGAGCTTCTCTCTTGAAGAGTGCTCTTATAATAGAGACATTCCTTGATTTTTTGTTTGCTGGTATTTCGAAAATCTTCGAGTTTTTTTTTCGAAATTTCGAAACTCCTAATTTACGAAATCTTGGTCTCAAGTACCACAACAGCAGGTAGCATAGGTTTACCAGTTTCATTTCCAGGGTTACTGTACCTCCCCGCTCCTTTCCTGACCACCAGATGATGTAATACATACAGTTTGCACTTGCAAAACGGCTTAGGGTCACTTTCTTGAGTTCTCCTAAAAGTCAAAAATAACCTCTAAACACACGTCATGATCTCCGATTTTGGAACGTTGAAAACGAGGAGGGGGACGACGGTAAACAGGCCCTGTCGGCCGTATATTTCTCTTCCTGTCTACTCTTTGTGACTCATGACACTCTGGGGCAAAAGTCACAATCCTCAGTCAGTCTGTCTCATTTCGAAATATGCAAGGTTTGCCGGTAAGATTAGTTCAGAAAAGGACGGAAAAGGGTTGGGGAGGAGGAGGTCAAGTGTAGAGTCGGAAATTCTTCGAAACAGCTGTGTGTGGGCGCCAGGTGTTTCGAAAAAAGAGAGAGGATCACACTCCTTCCGCTTGCATCATTATCTTTTTCTTTTGAGAAAAAAAACTTGGGATCAGGAGGTACGGAATGGGGTGAGTGAGTGAGTGAGAGAGTTCAAACGACTATGGGAGGTTCGAAAATATTCGTGACTTTTAGTTTCCGTTAAGTAGAAAAGAAGTAAAAAAGTTTTGCCATCTGGTGGAATCGAACTTTGGCATTCAGATCCAAAAACAGCTGCGTTAGCCGTTAGGGCACGGTGCCGACCACCAACTGTTGCAGCTTGGCTAAAGAGATTAGTGGTGGCTTATCAAGGTTACTGGCTAGCGCAACTTGCAGTATCGGTCACAGTATCAAGTGATAAGGAAGAGAGATGGACTTTAGAAAAAATAAGTTTTGTAAAGAAGAGATAGTAAACGGTAGAGAGATTCTGGTTAGGTTTGAAGTAGAAAAAAAAAACAAAGGAATTTTTTACACAAAAATGATAAATGGTTCTGTAGCTATGAAGAATAAAACTACCGTAATCTAGGGTGCTCGATTCTTCGAGAGAGCTCAAATGAGGTGAAATATTTGGTGGTTTTGGCCTATGTTCCAATCAGGTCGGTCTGGTAGGAATGGAGTTAGG